ATAGAATGTGGGAACCTAGGTATCCAGCCACCACTTTCATATCAGTCGATTCCACAGCTCATCATGGGACAGTCTGTCATAGCAAATTAGGTGTATATGGCAGCATTACAGTGTTCTTACAGGTGTGCATCCATCTGTGGCTAGGTATTCTCTGGGCTGTGAACACGGTGGCAAAAACCTTTCCCATCCACCCAGGACAAAGAAACTTCTGTGTATTATTATCGTCAACTCTACCACCTTTCAGACATCTCTCTTGACTCACCAAGAGCTGTATACCATCTCACTTGAGCTCCAACTCTAAGGGAACAGAGAGAAGAATTGTCAGAACTGTTCCAAAGTTAGGTCTTCTGGTCACATAGTGGGCAAAACTTGGTCGCATCCTATCTATTAGTTCTGTCCTTCCCTTTATTTTTCATGTAGTGTCTTCAACATAAACCAGATTGCATAATTAATAGTTTCATTACACTTTCCTGAAACAAGTGACAGAAACAAGCAGGATCATTTGTAATTGTGAAATGAAAATCCATGGCTCATAGGATGTGTGCTTGTCATTTCTATTATTGATAGGATTTAGAAGATAGCATGAGTTCTGTTTCATTTCAGAATAAATGTGTGAGGTGATTTTCATTTATTTTAAGCACATTGAGAAGAAGAGAAGATTTTTATAACATAGACATGCTACAACATGCTAGAAACCAACTATTCACTTACTCTTTCAGCAGGTGTGTATTGTGAGTCCACTGTGTTTAGGCATCCTTCTGCATTTGAAAATGGGTATTAGGTCAGAAGCTTTGCATACTATGAGCTCAAAGTTAAGAGCTTCTGGAAGTTTGATTCTGCAGAACTTAGGAGATAGGTGTGTTCCAGAGGTGATATAACAGCAGTCCGGGGGGTGAGAGGAAGAAGAAGGAAACCAAGGAGACCAGTTAACAAACTGTACATTCATTCTGAGAAAAGAGACTTGCATCTAAACAGTCTAATTATTCTGGTAAGAGGAAAAGAGGAAAGGATTTGAGAGTGATTCCAGAGGTCAACTTGAGGGATATAATAACAGATCAGAAAAGTGTTTTAGCTTGAGTGCACAGAGGATTGTTAATGCATTAACTGCTGTTTGAGATATGAGTGTGGCTGGTATGAGAGATGACAGTAAGTTCACGTTAATTGAAAAATAGCTCTGGGCTCTGGGTTGAGTCTATGCAGTAAAAATTAAAGTGTCATTTTAGGTGTAGAATCATGGCTCTCAAGATGAAAAACAATTTGTGAAACTGTTGGTAACTCATTAAAGATTTAATCAAGGATGAAGTTGTCTAAGACAAATCAAACAGAAAGGAAACTTGTCCAAGAAAAGGATGACACCCTAACATTTAAGATGCAAAATAAAAAGAACCCAGTGAAGGAGATTGAGTGAGTAGGATAAGGGGAGATTCAGAGGGTGGGGTGGGGTGGGGTGGGTATTCTCAGTTTAGGAATGGGAATTACACATTACGACAAGGAGAAGGACCTCAATATGTGTGACCTGTTCAGATCAAAGATGAGAAGTCATAACAAATTAATTCAGCGTGTGTTTAACTCATGGCTACATCTATTTGTTTTGAAATGAAAATGTTTCTTTTATATAAATAGTTGGTATTAAAATAGAGAATCTACTACATATCTGCAATATTTTCCCATAGTATTTCAAAAGGGTGCTCAAATTAAGCCTGAGAGACAGTTTCATCTCCAGTACACAAATCATTGATGAGTGGGGCATCATCTTCCTCACTTGCCTTTGATTTTCAACACTGGGTTCTTGACCTAAGGCAATGTGAAAAAGTAATAATCTTTATTACAGTTTCCTAAATACAACAGAGAAATTTTCTAACACCCCCTGTGAATTGGAGAAGTGAGAATTCTGTTATTAATCTTCCTAGGGCCATTTTCCTGCTTTTCATATCACTGGTTTCAGCTGTTTTAAGGGTTTCTAACAAAAACTGGCTACAGTTTCATTCCATATCCCTTGTTGTGGTTGTTTATTTTATTTATTTTTTTATTATTTTGGAGGGAAGACTGAAAAGTAGATGCAGGAAATGGAGAGATAGAACATTAAAAACAGATGATACACATCAGAAAGTTGCCCCATGTTGCATGAATATCTCATAGTGAATTAAATGGGAATAAGCACACTGACAGCAGATCATCTCATGCAGTCCAAGTCTGCCTCACAAGCATAGGCAGTTTTTCACATTTTTATCTTTTCTTTATTTCAACAAGACCTTTTACCCTGATGGAACACTCTAATCGGAGTCCAGAGTAATCACGAAGCATTTGAATTCCCCCAAAGGGTGTTAATTATCCTCACTGCACAAATTATCTGGCTTCCTCCACAGTTCACAAGGTCACTGGTGTTAGTGTATGTTAAGTTGAGAGGGCTCATCAGGGCTACTGAGTTGAGATTTCAAAACTGAGGTAGGTAAGCATACAGAATACCCTAGCAACTAGGGAGTCTGCTTGGCTTAGGCACTAAACACATTCCTTTCTTAACAGTGCACTTAGTAAACTGTTGTCAACTAGCTCCCACCACTGCTGTGGGATGTTCTGTATGTCCTGTGGGAGCCCGTTCTTGGGTTCCTCATGGCTTTACCCAGCAGGTCCGCATAGAGGATGATTAGGACCACGGGCCTGAGTGCGGGTGTCTGAGATGATCTGCACTTGGCTGTGCTGGGGGATGGTCTGTATGTCAAGTTGCTCTGATTGGTCAATAAATAAAACCTGATTGGCCATGGCTAGGCAGGAAGTATAGGCGGAACTAACAGAGAGGAGAAAAGAAAGAACAGGAAGGAAGGAGTCACTGCCAGCTGCCACCAGGACAAGCACCATGCCCGGTAAGCCACGAGCCACATGGCAAAGCATAGATTTATAGAAATGGATTAATTTAAGCTAAAGAACAGTTAGCAAGAAGCCTGCCACAGCCATACAGTTTGAAGCAATATAAGTCTCTGTGTTTACTTGGTTGGGTCTGAGCGGCTGTAGGACTGGCGGGAAACCAAGATTTCTCCTGATTGTGGGCAAGGCAGGAAAACTCTAGCTACACACCACCATCACCTAATGTGTTATTCCCTTAGCAATCTCTAGATACCTAGTAATATACCATTTCCATCCAAACACTTTCAGAGATGTGTCTGCGGTTGTGAAACAGAGGACCAATTTGTCCTGGACTAGCTTTGGGTGCATTTGCGGGAAGATAAACTGGGTCTTCTCAGTGAACTGTTAGAGAGAACCACTATTTCACATCTATGCCTGCACATAATTGGACATACATATAGACAAAATCAGATGAATCATAGAAAGGGATATACAGAGCAAGGCTTATATAATTCATCCAAAGTTCAAAATAGTGGAATACACAAACTCTGCTCAAAGCTATCAGCTTCTTATTCTCTTGACCCTCATAAAGAGATTCCCAAATACTGACTGGAGCCACTGAGTACTCTCTCAGTTGGGGGCCTGCTGCCTCTTCTGGCAGTGTATATATAACTTGTACTTTTGTTTTATTCCTAATAAATTTTTCTGCTGCATTGCTTCCCCTGTGCACCATTTCCAGTTCTTTGAACAAGACACAAAAAAACCTGGAAACACTTAAGCAAACTGCCCACTGAAGCAGAGCAGCACTACTTTTGGATGGGGTCAGGAGGAAATGTCTTGGGAATGACTGTACATTGAGGTAAGGAGAAAGAGAATGTGAACATTGACATTCTTGAGGATGTTTCCAAAATGGAAACTCACTTTTTTTTCCTTTCCTCTTTTTTCTAATATATGAAGACAGCACTGTGTATTGTCACACTCAACACAGAGGTTATAACAAAGAAGCCATGGTTGAATTCCATGTTGGCTCCATAGCCATGGTACTGCTTTAGTATTTGAATGAGCCTTTCATTTGAAATTTTATTTTTTTTCAAGTCTCATGTTCATAGTGTCAAATATAATTACAAAATGAGTGATAATCAAATGAATTATAGCCAGTTTGAAGGAGACCTGTCTAAAGCTTTTAATAGTCATGTCATTCAGTCCCATGACCATCCCATGTCTGGTGAAACTATCACATGCATTTGATATCTTAGCATTACTATTGTTTGTGACAACTTCACACAAGCCTACAGGTTATAAATGGGAATAGAGTTTGGAGCAGCACGTCATGAAAATCCCAGGACCTGTAATGGTCTCCACGAATATGAGAATTTCATGTTGATAGCTCGTTATGGTTCTACGATGGTAGATCAGTCACGGGGAGGGGGGAGATCATCGGTCTGTTTCATTGTTGGCCATGTTTTGCCTTAAAATCTAATCTGTATTTTTATTAGATAAGCATTGCATCTTTGAGCAGAAACCCTATTAAATTAGATCATCTTGACTGCAGAGAATGCCACATAATCAATTTGACAAGCAAAGTTTTTACTTAGCCTGCTAATATCACAAATACACAACCTCTTTACCAGCTTTTCTTCATTCCTGCCCAGTGAAAATTTCAGTGTTCTGCTAATTTTCCTGTCTGTACCTTCGTTTTGATGCCCTGTTGAAAGTGTTCTGGCCATGTGTCATGAAGGTATTCTTTCATCCTTTCTGAGCCTTGATTTAGTATTACACGTACGTTTTATTATTATATTTGCCCTGCTTTATACAGTTGTTTTAGTTCTCTATTTCCAATATGCAGCAAGCTATTTGAAAGGTAAAATTTGTCGCAGACCACCCAGAGGGAGACCATCATTGCGGGAGAACCAGGGAGAAGGCTCGAGGAGAAGTTAGGAATCGGCGAGGAAATGACAGACAGACACACAATAGATTGTTGTGCTGCTGTAGATTTATTTTTGTAAGACCAGTGCTTATATTTTTTTACAATTAAGGAACTTGGTAGGGGATTACATTAGACTGATAATTTTTACAATCATTTAGAATCAGCAAACTTTTTTAATTTTACAGAATCAGTAAAAAACAATAGTAAAGTATATCAGTATCTATTTTTGTGTAGACAATAGCAAAGTACTTTAGTATCTATTTTTGTGTATCATTTTCGCAGCTTGGCGTTTATTGTGGTTGTTGTTTAAGGGCATGATCTCAGAATTTTGTGAAATCTGTCTCGCGTCAAAGACCACATCTGTGAAAACCAGACGTTTACCAGCCAAGGTTCAAGTCACCCTTTAAATACTTTTTGTATAATTTTATTTATTTTTTTTTTCATTTTTATATATTCATTTATCCTTTTAGTTGTTATATACCCTTTTATATCAATACCTTAGGGCTGGTTTTATATTTTTTATGATCTGTTGACTTTTTTTTTTTACTATGAAGGCACCAAGGCTTTTTAGTCCTGGCTAGCCTTTCCATGAAAGGCAAATCATTTTAAAGTTGTTTCTTTTTTTTTATGATTCACTCCCCACAACATAGAAAAGACATACAGAGAAAAAGCATGATTAGTGTAAACAAGGACTGTTGCCCTGAGATCCTCAGGCCGCATGACGACCGTTGGACTTGGGGAAACTGCCTGAGGTCTCGCTCCAGGAAGCTTTAATCTCAGCCCTTTTGTTGCCAGACTCTAGTACAGCGGCAAGCTTTTAAGCTTTGTTACAGCTACACAGGTGTCACAGCTGTGGGCGTAGCAGTTCCCCCTTTTCTGTTTTTAAAATGAAGCTCGAACACGTCCTGTTGTACTGTTTGTACAGAAGTGTAGAGACATTTAATGAGACAGGGGAAAAGAAAGATGACCAACACCACCAGTAAAACAAGCATTCCAATGACTATAAAATATTGTAGCCAATCCATCGGATTTAAATCCTTGATTTTTTTTTTTATTTTTGAAGCTAGGTCTTGTAAACCTCCTATTTGCAAATGAGCCTGACTCATAGCTGAGATGTCCTTTTGAAGTGCATCTAAATCATGAGTGATGTCTGTATCTTGCCAGACACCTTGTAGGTGGGCCTTGACCTTGTCCCAAGGCTGAGAAGTATTATAAGGCAATGGAGTAACACAGATGGACTTGAAATTACCATGGCAGCGAGCAAACATTGTGGTTTTGAGGTTAGAAATATCTTGTCCTAAGGCCAAAACCATTTCTTCTAAAACATTAATTTTTGACTCTAATTTTTTATCTATAGTTTCCTGTTCTAGCAGAGCCATAGTAATATTCTTACTAAGAGTATTCACATAATGAGTAGTATGAATTTCTTGAACTAGGGCTGTAGTTGCAATAGAAAAAGTAGTAATTATAGAAATCAATGCAGTAATGCCCAAAAATAATGTAGTAACAAACCGTTGTGGCCGAATCAAATCTCTTAAAGTATTTAATACTTGTAAGGCTGAATTGTTATACCAAGGCTCAGGGCCTAGTTCTACAGGCAACATGACAAAAGGAGGTCGCCGAATCATAATCATGGTTCCCAACTCTTTTCGCTCTGAGGAAGTGATACAATTTGTTAATTTACAAGAACTACAAATTATCCGAAATGAATTACCATTTTGTGAAATATTAACAAAGGAAGATTGTGTCAAGAGTAGAGCATTAGGGTAGGATACGCAGGCTCGAAGACCAATGGCCTCTGGTTGAGTATGGTTAGGTTTTTTTTCTAGCATCATATTGGCAGTTGTAACAAGCCTAAACAAAACCCGAATGTTTTTTAGTGATGTTGCCTTGTGTTGCAAACCAGGTGGGCTCCACGAGGCCTGGAGAAAACCATCTCCTGAGGGGCTCTCCATGTCCCTCAAAGACATACTCATGAAATTTCTCTTTATGAGTATTTAAGTAATCTTTATAGGTCTCTCCTTTGTCATTAGAATTAGAGTAGTTCCAAACTTTAAGCACATCTAACGACCCCCGTGGTTCATACCACGCAGCAGCATTAGGAAAGCCACAAGTCAACCAAGCTGGAAACTTGGACAAGGAAGAATCCCAAAATTGATCCTTGTCTCTGTATTTTTGAATGCAAGGAGTTATAGGAATAGTATTAACTTGAGTAAAATTATCTTTATACAGTTTGTCTCCTAAAGTTTGTATCTGTAGCTCCCAAATCCATCGCCTACCAGCACTCGCCTTGTCTGGACCGTCAGTCAGGAAGGTTCTATAAGATGTAGGAAAGCAGCCGTAAGGCACTTTCCCTTGCAGCGTCAGGCAGATTGGTAGTGAATCTGCTTTGCCTTTAAAGTTTACAAGAGAGGAGGAGCTGTTTTGAGCGTCAGAATCTTGAGCTCCACCCAATCTGACTGAATCATTTGTCAACATTTTGATGGGTTTTTGATCTAACCATCCCACTGGCTGAATGATTGGGGGATTAGGAACATACGCCCAAAAGGAAACTCCCTGAGCTACTGGTAGCGGAGCAAAGAGCAAAGACAAAAAGGCAGTGAAATAAAATGAAGCGGTGAGGGGTTTTCCCTGCTCAATCAGTAGCTTCTTTGCGTCCCGAGTTAGAAGCTGAATCTGCGACCAAGTCATTTTTATTTTCTCGCCGCCGCCGCCGAGTTGCATCTTCTTTATTTTTGTCAGCAGTTTCCTTTGTTGTTTTTTTTGGAGGCGCTTGCGCCTTCTTTTCTCCCTCTGTAGGTTGGATAAGGCGATCCGGGATCCAGATAGGGGAATCGGCATCCTGTGGAAAGACACAAGCATACCCTCGTCCCGCGGTTATGAGAACATCTGGTCCCTTCCATGTGTTAGATAATAAATCTTTTTAATACACCAATGGCAGAGGTGTACTGTGGAACTCACGATCCCAATGGATTAGGGCTGCAGTGAGTCCTTTGTCATTAGTATTTAGATGGTTGAGGACAAACAAGGCATGAGATAAAACATGATGAGGAGTAAAGTACCCATTTGAGGCTTGCAGCCTCTCTATTTGTAGCTTCAGATTTTGATGAGTTCTTTTTATGATAGCTTGTCCCTGTGGATTATAGGGTATTCTTGTAGTGTGGGCAATTCCCCATTGGTTGCAAAATTGTTCAAATGCTTTTGAAGTATATGTTGGTCCATTATTTGTCTTTATTTGTGATGGAAGGCCCATAATCTGAAAACATTGTATGAGATGCTGAACCACATCTTTGACTGCTTCTCCAGTCCTGGCTGAGGCAGAAGTGAAGTGGGAATAAGTGTCCACTGTAACATGGACATATCCCATCCTACCAAAGGAGGAGACATGAGTCACATCCATTTGTCAAATGACATTTGGTTTTAAACCTCTAGGGTTTATACCCATTTTTGGTGGATGATGAATAGGAGGGCAATGTGTACATTCCCTTACTATTTGTCTTGCTTGTTCTCTCGTTATAGAGAACATTTTTTTTAAAGCAGATGTATTTTGATGATGCATTGCATGACTCTGTTGAGCTTTTTGTATAGCAAATGCTCCTAGAGAATTTTGTGTTAGTAGATCTGCCATAGTATTTCCCTGAGCCAGTGGGCCAGGTAGTTTGTTATGTCCCCTTATGTGTCCCACATAAAATTTTTGTGATCTATGGTGTACCAAATTTTGTAATTTTTGTAAAAATGGTAAAATAGGGGACTTCCCTGATAAAAGAGCAGTTTCTAATGCTGGAAACAAATTAGCTACATATTTAGAATCTGTAAAAAGATTAAGCTCTTGAGGAAACTTCTTAAAAGTTAAAATAACAGCTCTTATTTTTGTTTGCTGTGTAGAAGTTTTCTCCCCTTCCTCTACCCACAGCCCATGTGTCTGGGTGAAAACCGCAGCTCTTCCTGTGGAAGAACCGTCTGTAAAGATATTTACAGCATGATTTAGGGGGCTGTGAGAGAACCAGACAGGAAATATCAATTTTACATGCCTTG